CTCTTGGGAGTTCCGGTCCGCGTTTGATCCCAGGCTGGCCGGCCCTGCGGGAAGGATGATGGAGGAGTTTGTGCGGTTCACGAACCAGACCCAGGGACGGGAGCGGCTTTTTCGGTGAGGGAGGGGAGAGTAAGGAGGGGATTGGGGCCGGATCGAGGGTGGGTCGGTGGGTCTTTCCCTCCCACCTCCAAAATAAAAACTTTTGGGAAGAAATAAAAACTTTTGGACAAAAATAAAAACTTTTGGAAACTTTTGAAACTGTACTTCCCTAGCGTCCCAACGGGCCGATTCCGTTGAACCTCCGCTGCTCAGCGCGCGGAGAAGTTACTTTTTTGTAATAACCGTTCCCCAAATCTTCCTGTCTCTCATGCACCCAGATTTTTTTTACTCTGCTCTCCCTGGCTTGAAACTTGGCGAAGTCCAGGCGCAAATCAGAAGAAGCGGAGGAAAATCCAAACTTCCGAATTCACATTTTTTAATTTTTTTTTACCCTGCCTTGATTATTAATTAAATAGAGCATGAAACGACCCACACAGCGCTTCGCTTAAGTTTTTTGCCCCCAGCATCTGTTTGAGATTGATCGCTGAAATATAGATACACTTGTAAGATGAATTTACAAACAAAAATATGTAAGCAAAACATTTTGGCTTGGGCTTCTTCACTGGGTCTGAACAAAAGACATGTTGCTTTTATTGAAGCAACTGAAGAAGGCAGAAGCTGAAACTCTGGTAAATCACTCCTATAAGCATATGCATGTTTATAGATATTTAGGTTTGTAAGTCATTCTAATAAGCCCATTTATTCAGTACAAATAGGGCCTTAGAAGGACACACATAATAGATAGTATTGGACCCTTGCTGTTTCTCAGGCTTTCTGTGTGACATCTAAGACCCAAAATACAAGGAAGAAGGAGGTGTGGAGGGAAGAAAGGAGGCAAAGACAATAATTGTAATCAAATTGGATCAAAGTCCATTAATGGCAAACTAAAAGTATCTTTGCCTACCTGTGGATTTTGGGGGTTTAGATGTTGTTTGAATGACCCATGTAACCTCATACTCCTTTTCTGGATTTGCTCCGAAAAATTCAGAAGGAGTCGCACGTGATCTAAATGCTGCCATGATGTGTGTGTGTGTGTATGTTTTTAAATTAATTCAGTTTTTGGCAACTGGATTAATAGAACTATGGCTTCCAAGCCGTGGGATGTGATGGATCTCTTTTATTTGGCAAAATCTGGCCAGATACTGGGATTTCTGCATCTCCCTCCCAAACCCCCCAGTTTTGTACCATCAGTAAGAAGAAGAGTTCCAGAGATGATGACTCGTTTATTGGTTTGATTAAAGTGGGTTTCGAGGAGGCCTCCGATGAAATAACAATTATTCGCCTAAACGAAGTTGCCGAGACAAACTAGAGTCAGCCGTTGAACTAATCGGACTTGCATACGTGTGGGGCTGTTACTCAGAAACGGATTCAGGAGGTCTCCTCTCGTTCAGGGTGGCAGTTGAATCTCAGCCATCTTTCCAACTGCCACTACTGTGGATCGTGACAGTTTGAAGCATGACTGACAGGGGGAAGAGAAAGACAGGGAAACAGTATTTCTATTGTTCAGTGAACAGAAGCGAAAATCTAAGCCGGGAAGGGAGGCAGACGAATTCCAGTGGGTGTGTTGGATTTGCAGAACGGCCGGTACTGGGAGTTGAACTGGTCTGGCAGATGATATCCCCGGCCTTGCCTTCAAGGACTGGAGTTTCGAAACTACCGACAGGGCCGAGCCACATACCATCTACGCCCCCGCCGTCTTCTGGAGGATAGTTAGGAAATCATCTGCTGGGACCAGCCCGCACTTGTGCAATAGCTACAAGACTCTTAAGAACCTGCCGGCATATCTTTCCACAGAGGGGGTGAGGCTGCCGGGGGCATCTCTGAATGAGTTGATGTTCTGGCCTCCATGGCTTTCCAACCACGAATCCTGTCTAGATGGATAAGTTGTGGGAGGAACATACTATGAGGCCGGGATGGGGACTTAAGTGATGGGACTCGCTGTCAAATCAGATTTAAGTCACACCAGTGACTCAACTCATGGGACTCGCTGTCAAGTCAGGTTTAAGTCACACCAGTGACTCAATTTGTGTTTCTCTTCCCCTCTCCCATGATTCGAACTCAAAACTCACCCACTTGTTTCTCTCCCCCCCCATGATTCGAACTCAAAACTCACCCACTCCTCCCTTTTTTCTGGCTAAAAAGCTTATTTTCAGTAGGGACATGGGCCAAAGACTCAGACTTGGAGCTTAGACAGGATACAGGGAGATGTTTTGAAAAAAATAACACCCCAAACACCCCGGAGATGATAGGCGATTGCGGAATTCTGTTTCAGAACCGCAGAATGACTTCTGCCCTCAGAGATCTCCTCCCTGTGGGGTCAAACGGCAACTCTTCCATCCATCCTTCTAATTATATGTCTGGCTAGACCAAGACATTCCTTTGATGTGTCCCCATTGAACCCCCAAAGTAGTTCACGGATGGAAGGGATTTAAAAACAGCACCTAAAAAAGAATCAGACTGCATGCACCCTATTCCCCCCACGTTTGGAATGAGAAGCAGATTTGAAATTGTTTGCACACTGAACTTGTCCCTGGACTGCAGCAAACTTAGCAGGGTTTTGGATTTAGCAATTCCACATTGCATTTCCCTCCCCCCTCGCTTACACTGCTCCAGAGAGATACAATAATGTAACCCTATTTGGGTTTATAGCTTGTGTGGGGTCCTGGGTGGAATGGCAGACTAGTATTTGAGAGACCTGAGTTCAAATCCCTGCCTTAGCTGTGGAAACTACCTGTGAGGCCGGCTGCACTGGTCGAGCACTCTTTGAACAACATGTGCATTTTGAAAACCTTATTAGGGTCCTCTTAAACCCGAAGCAGCGGAACTGCGCGTAACACCGCCATCCAGCTTATTTAGAAACATTTAGGCTTCCGTACTCTTCCCCTAAAGATGGCAAAAAGATGCACGTCAGGAACTGGTTTATAATATTGACTTGTTTGCAATTTTTTCTCCTTTTTTTGCTGAAGTCGCCTGAAATTAAGCAATATGAAATTGCATGCAAGGTGTTATTGTAAGGAAAGGCCCCGGAGGCCTTGGCTGTTCCTGCCTTATCGGGCAGCCCGTAGAGACGCCCCTTTTCCTTACACCTCCATTTTGTCGTCCTCGGTTCGGTTACAAGCCTGCCTTCGCTCGGGAGATGAACCGCCCTGCCTGTGTTTTCCTACCCCTCTCCAGGGCTGCACAGTATTCGTGCATGCTGCTTCACTACCTCCTGGAGCAAAATCCCGGACGAGAGGAAGTGGTGATGAAGCTCAAGCGTCTGGAGTCGAACATGAGTTCGGGCCGAAAACGTAAGCGGGTTGCTTTCCAAGAACTTTCTAAGGAGGAGGAGGAGGAAGGCCATGGGTGGCCTCCAGAACTGGTGGGTGGGGGAAGCGGCTTACTTCGGTGTAAGCCCCACTGCACTGATGGGTTGGTGGGGAATCCCTGGTTGGAGGGAGCCCGCCGGGTTTTGCTTCAGTGTCCCATGATCGTCAGACTGGGAGACGGGGGTTCAAACCCACACTCAGCCATGGTGCTCGCTAGACAACATCTTAGGTAGATCTACCTCGTAGGGGTGTGGTGAGGATAACAATATTTATTTATTTATTATACTTATATCCTGCCCATCTAGTCTTTGACTACTCTGGGCGGCTCACAACAAGTGGAATTAAAAAAAAACAATTAAAACATAACAACAATTGACAACAATAAACAATCATTCAAGGTGGGAGGAAAAGGGAAAAATAGATCAATGGGGGAAGACGAGAAGGATAAGCTCATGGGAGAAAAGAATAGGGTTTCAAGGTGAATAAATGCTCTAGTATATGAATAGGGACAGTAACGTGCTGTGTGTAAAGTCCTAAAACTTTGCACTCCTTTGAGCAAAACAGGTCTGAATTTTTTTATCAATTCATGGCATATTTTGGGATGTGCCCAACTGGGCCTTTTTTCTTTCTTTACTCCCTTTTAATTGGTCATCCTACTTCAGATCAACTCTTGAGACATGACTGTTGGTTTGGTTTTTGCAATTTCCTCGGGGATCTTAATGATCTCGTCTCCCAAAGCTTCAGTGAGCAGGAACAGTGGCATTGCTCGCTTGCTTGGGGATTTTTGCACCAGCAGCGGAGGTAACAGAGGTAAGAGCTCTGCCTGTAATTGGCCCAGATGGTCTCTGGTCACGGAAGTCCCACCGGCCGCTATTGGCTGAGCTGCTCTGACCCCATCGAGGGCAGGCAGAGAAAAGGACCGGTCACCCCCGTCCTGGAGTATTTCATAGGTAGCTTGTTTAATTCCTTGGACCTTTAGAAAGCACAGATTATCCCGTCCTGGCTTGAGGCCCATTTCGTAGGTAGCTTGTTTAATTCCTTGGACCTTTGTCCTCCTCAGAGGGGATCTCCTAAACCATCCTGGCTTCCCTTGCAGTGTTCCGGCTTGGCAACACGGTCCACGCCGTTGTGGCTGCCAGGCAAGCCACCCAGTTGCCGAATCTCGTCCCACGCTTCTGCCTGGTGGCCTCCAACCTGAACCGGGCCCTGTACTTCATCTGTGACACCGTCTTGTGGCTCGTGAGCATGGGTTTCTTCTCGGACGTCGACCAGAAGAAGTGGCGCCGCCGGGCGACCAAGTGCTACTATTATTCCTTGGTGATGAACCTGGCCGAGGACGCGTACGAACTCGGCTGGCGCATGGAGCGGGCGGCGCGAACGGAGGCACCGGGAAAGGAGAGAGAGGATCAGGGCCAGAGAATCCAGGCCTTGTCTCCCCGAGTGACGGGAGGACTCCAGCCTCTTCTCTCGTTCTTCTACTTCACCTTGAGGGATCACCCACCCCTCTTGCTGGACATGGTTAAGAACATTTGTGATCTCTCCAGTCCGCTGAATGAATTGGGACTCTATAAGACCAACGCCGGCGTCCTTGGGCTCTGCGGCCTGATCTCTTCCATCATCGGGATCCTCACGGTCACCAAACCACACCTGAAGCTGAAACCTTGACTCTGGACCTTCTCCGATGGCCTCTTCTCTTGGAGAGCAGCTACTCCCTCTCCATCCAGGCTGCTTGACTTCTGCAACCGGATCCGTCTCCTCTCGTTCCTTCGACTCCTGCCAAATAGGAGAGTGTTGCTTGGAGGCCGTCGTTCTGGGACAAGAGGAGGGTGTGGTCAGTGAGGGCTGATAAAAGACTACGTAAACCATCCGCTGGACTATACAACAGAAAAAGCAAAAGAAAAAAAAAGTAAGGAGTTGTAACTGGCTTCAAGATTTAAGTTTGAATGTTGAGAAAAAGTGATACCTTAATTTTGTAGGATGTGGTCGTGGACGGCTGTCGGTGAAGGTGTTCATGGATGGCTGTTTAAAAAAAAAGTTGAACACCATCTCCGTTGAACTATATAACAGTGAAAAAGGTTACACAACTGTCGCCAGCCTCCAGATTTCCGTCTGAATGTAGGGGATAAATATGATGTGTCTCCATGAAGGGGACCCACATGACTGAGGAGATGTGGCGGGTAGAGGCAGACAGTAAAAAAAATCTGTAATTCTTGCATTGGAACGAGCGGCTTCTTTGTCTGTGTCCTCTTCTTGCCTCTGGCCTTGTTTTGTAAGAGGGTGGCCGGGGCGTGCCGGGTCCCAGAGCTTTGCACAATTCCAAGTTCGAGGCGAGAGTTAGACAACGGAGAGAACGGAGCCCCATGGGAAGGGAAGCCTGGCCTATCTAAGCAAGCAGAGTGGAACGAGCCACAAAGCAAGATCCGTTCGCCGTTTGGATTGTTGAGGCTGAAGCCTTTAAATCCCGCTGTCAGGGTTGAGGCAGAGCGGGCCGTGGGCGAAACCTCGATCCTCACAGAGGCTTTCACATCGTTTTATTTCCTACAAGGAGTGTGGTTTCTTTTCCGGTGTCCTTTGTCCCAGAATCTGTCTGCTAAACGTCACTGCTAGCTCTTCCGAGAAAGAAGTGGCCATCTCTCTCTGGGCCTCTGCTCTCAACCAGGCACCGGGCTGTGGAGGACGCACAAGGCATTTGGCGATCCTTCCTCGGTGGGCAAAAACAATCCCTTCTCAGCTGTGGTGAGGGTACTCCCCCCAACCGACTGCCCTGTTAAGACTACATATCCCACCCTCCCCAGCCAGAAGATTGGTGAAGGCTGGCTACAGTCCAAGCACTGTCGACTTAACTGCTCTTAGCTGCTAGGTAGCTCAGGGGTCTAGGTCTCTGTCTGGGGAGCCAGAGGTTGGGAGTTCGAATCCCCCGTGGTGCCCCCTTGAGAGGGGCTGGCCTCAATGACCCATAAGGTCCCTTCCAGCTCTGCAGTTCGGCGATGATGATTGAAATAGAGGCTCCCAGACTAAGAGGAGGGTTTTTCAAAATCTTTCTGCCTCTGTTCTTGCCTGCAAGGATGAGCAAAGCGGAGGGCGGTAAAGAACCAAAGAGGTGCAGAGACAGGAGATCTGAAATAAACTCCAGTGAGAAAGCGAATTCAAACCATGTCAAAGCCCATTTTTAACGCTATAATGAGAATAATTTATAGGCATATATTCCATTAATCTTTAAACCGAAGTGCTCTCATGCAATCTACTCCACCCCTTCTATCTAGGACAAAGAGCGTTTGCACTGTGATCTTTTTTTTACCCCTTTCCTCCAAGTATGAGGTCTGGCCAGTGCCCAGTTCACATGCATGGCCATATTCTACCACGGTGACTGCCCTTTGTCCCTGCTTGTCTGAAGACAACTCCGACTCATCAGAGTCAGGAGAGTTCTATTTTCTTCCCTGCTGGATTGTAGCTCTTCGGCTTTTTAAAATTATTATTATTTTTGCCTCGATCCGTGGCAAAGATCAAGAATCGGGGCGAGGTGCAGAACGAATGAGTGGGAAATGAAAACAGATGGGCTATAGAAACGGAGGTGCTAAAGAGCAGTGTGAAGAAGGCGTGAGATCCATTCAGAGGCTTCTGGAGTTGGGGATCCAAAAGGTCATTGAGTCCAACCCCCAGCCTTGCTTGGGCGCCCTTCTCTTTGTCCCAAGTCACCCTTTTAAACAGTGTCTTGGTTAGCATTCCATTGGAGCATATTAACAACGGAAGGCTCTCCTTAATCTATTCCAGAAGATATTTATGCTGTTGTGATGCAGCTGTTGAAAGCATGTGTCCTTTCAGTTAATGTTGTTGATCCATGCCTCTTTTTTTGTCTTTCACTATGCATAAAATTATGGAATACTGGAGTGGGAAGGGGCCTCGAAGGCCATCCAGTCCAACCCCCTGCTCAAGGCAGGAATCCAAATCCAAGCAGATCTGACAGATGGGTATCTAGTTTTCTCTTGAATGCCTCCAGCAATGGACGGCTCACCACCTCTCAGCTGGTTCTATTGTTGTACTGCTCTAGCAGTTAAGAAGTTTTCTTGAGAATCAGCCTAAATCTGGCTTCCTGTAGCAATTCCCCAGGATGGCAAAACATAGAGGGTGTTAAACTCTAGAGGAGAGTGATATGAAAAATTAAACAGCAGCAGCTTTTGATCCTGTTCCTCAAAACTAGAAACT